GTATATGTACATATATACAAATTCTGATATATACCCCAAAATAAATTCCGTTGCAGTTTATATGCCTACTGTGTCCCACTGTGCAAGAACAAAATATTAGCACATTAAAATCACATACTTTCCTCTGCTTACCAATTTTTGCCGTTGGTCGCATAGTTCGTTGAACTTGGCTAAACAAATTGCCGAAAAACATAAGTGCACTATTTCCCATATATCATATGTACATACGTTAGCACATATAAACATTTTTACCAGTTGCATTTTCTGCAACTATTCGTATAATAGCTAAGAGAGTCGCTGCTATTTATCGAACAATACAGTCCACACGTACCAAGCGCACTCTAGCTTATTTTAATTTATTTCAATCTTGCTTTTCTCTGCTGCACTCACCAAGCTAAGAGAACGTAAATCAAAGCCCGCTCTCTCAGCGGTGAGCGGCTCTTTACGTATTATCATATCCACTTGTACATTCCCGCACACATACATACATACGCACTATAATCAAAACAAATTCTCTGTTGTTTTCGTTTCTTAACTCACCACTGCTGTGACAAAGCATAGCTTAGCCATATACTCGGCTTCATACGTAAATATTTGTACATACATACGTACGTACATTTTTACATTCTACATATTCTGCACTTTTGTACATACGTGCTAACAAAGAATATTGTCACACGAATATTATCCATAACGCGATAAGAAGTGAGTTCAAGATATCAGATACATGCAACCCAGTAAGGAAAGCTCCCGAACTGCATTGGTCTAGATAGTGATAAATACCCATTACTTATTCAGTATTTACATAATTATTCACATTAAATATTTATACATACGTATATTTCACCACGTATATAAAAGTGAAAAGTGTTTGTGATTTTTTTTTCTCGTACTGAAATTTTTCAAATCCATATTCCGCGGATTTAATTGGGACGCTCCGTTTTCCACGTAATAAAAAGTGCTGAACCAAAAATTAAAGCCAATATAATTTCACGTAATTTCCAAGAAACAAAAAACACAAACACCGCCACAAAATCTTAAAATTCTTTTCCTGATTTTCTGTGGCACAAAGTGCAATTTTTACTCGTTTGACATATATTTTTCTAATTTTTGCGAACGTTATCTGGGTGGTACTCAGTAAAATTTGATAAATTTTTCTCTCAATTTTTATACGTGTGACCTTCCACAGCATTAAAAATGCCACTTGGACACAGTCCACCAAAAATGTCTGAAATCGAGACAAGGTCAAAAACTGCTTCGCAAGAAGCCACCGGTGGTAAGAGGGAACCCTCACCGCGCCCGAAA